CCTGGTCTCCATCCCTCCCTGGGATGTTTGGAAACTGGTTTCCATGACAACCGCAGAATCAGGATTTACACGGGGTTTTCTGCTTTAATGACAGGGAGATCGGTTCAGCTCCTGCCCCCAAACCACAAGAGGAATCGAAGACATGAAGAACCGGGGATGGAGCGATAATACAGTGGGGGGCGGGGGGAGGAGGACCATGTGGTCCACCGGGGTTCAGTCCCCATGGGGTACCCCAAACCCCCCAGGAATGATCCCTAAGCGCAGAGAGTCAGAAGTAAGCCCTGAGCGCTGCTGCGTCTGACACCACCCCCCTCCAAGAAACCCCCAAACAAATAGAAGAAATCAAGAATAGCTCTGTGGAGCATGGTTGGGCTTCAGGAACTTTCTAAAGAAAGACACTCCCGCCCTCCCCCTGCCCCAGAAGGATGGGGGCCCCAGGTTCTCCTGGAAGGGCAATAGAAGAAATATTTGGTGCTTGAGTGCAAGAATTAGGATACGGCTTTCTCTCCCCACCTCTCTCCCTCCCTCCCTCCTTCCCTCTCCCCCCCCCCCTCTCTCCCTCCCTCTCTCTTTCCCTCTCTCCCTCTCCCTTCATCTCTTTCCCTCTCCCTCCATCTCTTTCCCTCTCTCTCCATCTCTCTCTCCCTCTCTTTCCCTCTCTCTCTCTCTCCCTCTCCCTCTCTTTCCCTCTCTCTCTCTCTCTCCCTCCCTCTCTCTCCCTCTCTCTCTCTCATTGAAGGTGAAACCAGTTTTAAAATGCTGGATTCAAAATTAAAACCAGCAAATTCCTCTGGGCCTGGGGTGCTGGGAATGTGAAGAATGCTTCTCTTATCTTGTCACACCTCCCCACCCGCAAAGCCTCCATGAGGAGTTGCCTTGAGACTGAGCCCCTCCCCGATCTGCCTGCACCCTGCACCTCTGGCCGCCAGTGCCCCAGGGAAGTCCACATCGGGCATCCCCACCCCAGGCACCAGCCTGCAGCCTGTCCTTCTACAAACACGCTGGCTCTTCCCAGCACAAGCTGCTTCTTGGGTTCATGTTGGAGGACGTGAGGCCACCTTCAACCTGCAGGCATGGTTGTTCTCTCTCTCTCTCTCTCTCTCTCTCTCTCTCTCTCTCTCTCTCTCTCTCTCTCTCTCCCCCTTTCCTTCTCTTTTTCTCTTTATTTTTATTTCTCTTCTCTTTCCTCTCTTTCTTCCTTTCACTTTCTCCATTTATTTCTCTATTTATTTCTCTCTCTTTCTCTCTATCTCTGGTTTTGGGGTCATACCTGGCAGTGCTCAAGGCTTCCTCCTGGCTTTTCACTTCTGTTGGGCTCAGGGACCATAGTGGGGTGCCGGGGATCGAACCTGGGTGAGCTGAGTGCAAGACAGGAGCCCTACATGCTGTACTATCTCCTCAGCACCTTTCTTTTCCTTCCTTCCCTCCCTCCCTCTTTCTTTCCCTTCATTCTCTCCCTTCTTTCCTTCCTTCCTTCCTTCCTTCCTTCCTTCCTTTCTTCCTTTTGTCCTTCCTTCCTTCCTTCTTTCCTTCCTTCTTCACTCTCATTTCCTCTCTCTCCATTAGGGTTGCTTCCGCCTCGAGGCCGCCATCAATAGTGTTGCAGTGAACATAGGTGTGCCTAGATCTTTTCAAAAGACTGTTTTTGTGTTCTTGGAGCAGGTGTTAAGAGTTCTTGTCCGGGCTACAGTGATAGGACAGCGGGAAGGGCACTTGCCTTGCACATGACCGATAGGGGTTCGATTCCCAGCAGCCTATAATAGGGTTTCCCCAAGCACCGTCAGGAGTGATTCCTGAGTGAAGAGCCAGGAGGAATTCCTGAGCATTGCTAAATGTAGCTCAAAAATAAAACACTGTAGCACTGTCCTCCCTTTGTTCATTTGCTCCAGCAGGCCCAGTAATGTCTCCATTGTGAGACTTGTTGTTACTGTGTTTGGCATATTGAATACGTCACAGGGAGCTTGCCAGGCTTTGCCTTGTGGGCGAGATACTCTCGGTAGCTTGCCGGGCTCTCCGAGAGGGGTGGAGGAATCGAACTCAGGTCAGTCAGTTCCTGCAAGGCAAACGCCCTACCTGCTGTGCTATCAAAAAAAAAAAAAAAAGAAAGAAAGAAAGAAAGAAAGAAAGAAAGAAAGAGAAAAGCATCCACTTTCTTCTCTGGGCAGGAGAGGCTGAGAATGTGAAGGATGTTTCCCTTGTCCTTGCTCCCAAAGAGAATCAGTGTCCTTAAAATCTGGACTACAGGGGCTGGAGCGATAGGACCGTGGGCAGGGCGTTTGCCTTGCATGCACCCTATCTGGGTTCCATCCCCAGCACCCCATAGGGTCCCCAAGAGGAGAGCACTGCCAGGAGTGATTCCCGAGTGCTGAGTGAGGAGTAACCCCTGAGCATCGCTGAGTGTGACCCAAAAAGATAACAACAATGAAAAACTGGACCACCGGTTGGTGCTCGGGGCTTCCTCCTGGCCCTGTGCTCAGGGATCATCTCTGGCGGTGCTTGGGGAGTGCTGCGGGGTGCCTGGGATCAAACTTGGCTTGGCAGCCTGCAAGGCAAGTGCCATCTCTATCTCTGTCCCCCACTGTCATATCTCTCCAGCCATCTGCTTTCGGACAAAGGAGTGATGGGAGGGTTTGAGGGGAGGCTGGCAGAGTTTCCCTGAGATCCACTCCACTCCACTCCACTCCACTTCCTTTTTTTTCTTTTTTTTTTTTTTGCTTTTTGGGTCACACCCGACGATGCTCAGGGGTTACTCCTGGTTCATGCACTCAGGAATTGCTCCTGGCGGTGCTCGGGGGACCCTATGGGATGCTGGGCATCGAACCCGGGTCGGTCACGTGCAAGGCAAACGCCCTACCCGCTGTGCTATCATTCCAACCCCTCCACTCCCTTTCTTTCTTTCGTTTTGGGTCACACCCGGCGATGCTCAGGGGTTACTCCTGGCTCTGCACTCAGGAATCACTCCTGGCAGTGCTCGGGGACCCTATGGGATGCTGGGAATCGAACCCGGTCGGCCGCATGCAAGGCAAACGCCCTCTCCACTGTGCTATCGCTCCAGCCCACTCCCTTTCTTTTTTTTATATTTAATTTTAATAAAGTTGTTCACAATAACTTATCACATTTAGAATTCCAACACCAACCCCACCACCATTACACCTTCCCATCACGATATTTTGGATGTTTCCACCCGGACACCCAAAGCCTGCCCCCAAAGCAGGAACATAAATAATTTCTTTTGTGTTGCTTGTTAGGAATAATCCGTTTAAAATGATCCCAGGGACTGGAGCAATAGCACAGCGGGTAGGGCGTTTGCCTTGCACGTGGCCAAACCGGGTTCGATTCCCAGCATCCCATATGATCCCCTGAGCACCGCCAGGGGTGATTCCTGAGTGCGGAGCCAGGAGTAACCCCTGTGCATCGCCAGGTGTGACCCAAAAACAAAAAAAAAAAAATGATCCCAATGAGAGGAAAGTGTGTGAAGATTGTGCGAAGACAGTGGTATTTCGCCCCTGAAGTCCTGAAGCTCTAGTCTAAGAGATTACTACCCAGTCCTTCCTTTTTTTTCTTTTTTCTTTTTGGGTCACACCCTGCGGTGCACAGGGGTTCCTCCTGGCTCTGCACTCAGGAATCACTCCTGGCGGTGCTCGGGGGACCCTATGGGATGCTGGGAATCGAACCTGGGTCGGCCGCGTGCAAGGCAAACGCCCTACCCGCTGTGCTGTCGCTCCGGCCCACCACCCGGCCCTTTTGCAGGGTCTCCTGAGGTCTTCCGCTCAGTCTGAACTCCATCCCCTGCATCAGGTTCCAGAAATTTCTCTGCCTTTTCTTCTTTCACAAAAGCCGGGCACTGTTCCTTGAGACCTCGGTGCATCTCTGGGTGCTTTTCTGCGCTCTCTCGAGGACTTTCTGTGGTTTTGTTGTTTCATGTATTTATTTATTTTTTAATGTATTTTTGTTTCGTTTGGGCCACACCTGGCTATACTCAGGGCTTCCTCCTGGCTCTGTGCTCAGAAGGTCACTCCTGGTGGCGGGGCTGGGGGGATCCTACGGGATGCGGGGGTGGAGGTGAGGGGGGGGAGGAGGATGGATGGCCAGGCCAGCCCTCTCCCTGCCACCGTCCAATCTCAGTGTCCCCAGGCCCTTCCGGAGGGGCAGTCGGGAGCTTTCCCAGCCTGGCCACCGCATGAGGGGATGGACTGTTTCACGAGTGACCTTCTCCCTCCTCCTGGATGGTGAAGTTTACAAGGAAATGGACCGTGTTTATTTTGCTCACTGTAAATCCCATTACCGCCTGCTTGTTGATTCTTCCGTTCAACAAATATTTATCAAGCAACGGACATGTCAGGTGCTGGGTGTAAAATCGCGAACAAGACAGACAAGATTTCTGTCTCTTTGGGGTGGGGTGGGAAGGTTCTAAGGATCAGAGAGAGGGGTGCCAGGGGGGGTGTGAAACCTCCGGGAAGGGGGCAGGGGCATTTGTGAAGTGTGCTGAAGGGGAAGTTTAAGTGTGGAGGCAGAGTGGATGGGTCAGGGCGAAGGAGGCAGAGAGGCTGGGGCTTATTTCATGAACCAGAGGAAGATCCGCGTCTGTGCTGAGGGATCACCCCCCCACACACACACCCCACAAACAGGTACAATCTAGTCTACAGCAAGGCTGGCCCAGAGAGGTTAATCACCCACCCAAGGTCACACAGCAAGATTCTCCAGGACCATATGGGATGCTGGGGATTGAACCCAGGTTGGCTGCGTGCAAGGCAAACGCCTCCCCTCCCCTCCCCTTCTTCTCTTAGGACTTTAGAACAAACACACAAACTTTGCAGGGGCCAGAGTGGAAGTCCAGAGGCTGAAGCACTGGTCTTGGACCTCTGGTTCAATCCCCGCCACCTTATACGGCCCGCAAAGCACAGAACCAGGAGTAAGTGAGCCCTGAAGAACTCCAGGTACAGCACCCAAACCCAAACCCAAACACGGGGGCTTCAGAGGTGAGGGGTGAAGTCACTTACCTTCATGCCTGGGATCCTTGGCTTGGTTCCTCATGATGCATGGGGCTGCCCCGAGGAACGCCGGGAGTGATCCCTGAGCACCGTGCGGGGGCGGGGGAGGGGTGGTGGTGGCCCAAAAATCAATCAAAGAGAGAGAAAAACAACAACTGGCTCGATATTTTTCCGCACACACCATTGGAGCGTATGCATTGAAAGGAAAGATCGTCCACTCTGGGGCTGGAGCCATAGCACAGCGGGGAGGGCGTTTGCCTTGCACGCGGGCGACCCGGGTTCGATCCCCAGCATCCCATAGGGTCCCCCGAGCACCGCCAGGACTGATTCCTGAGTGCAAAGCCAGGAGTAACCCCTGAGCATCGCGGGGTGTGACTCAAAAAGCAAAAAATATATATATATACTGATTGTCCACTCTGCCTTATTAAACACAAATACACACACACACATACACTCTTGTTTGTGCAAAAAAAAAATATATATATACTGATTGTCCACTCTGCCTTATTAAACACAAATACACACACACACACACACTCTTGTTTGTGCAAAAAAAAAATATATATATATATATATACTGATTGTCCACTCTGCCTTATTAAACACAAATACACACACACACACACTCTTGTTTGTGCACTATGCATATATGTATATATATATATATATATAAAATAAGGGTTTGCCTCTCTTCAACCAAGCTATCTGAAGGCTTGGTTGGCAGTTCCCTGGAGTTTCCTTCCTGCACCGTCTCCCAGGCCGCGCCGAGGCGCCCGCGTGCCGGGACCGGGAACGGGGCACAGCGGGGCGCGCGTGCACGAGGCGGTCCCCGGCGGGGTGCGGGGGGCAGGGGGCCAGTGCAGGGGTGTGCTGCAGGAGCTCGGGCGGGCTGGGGCGGGGGGGGGGGGGGGCGCTCGGTGAGCTCCGGGGCAGGATCCTCGCTAGCAGGGCCGTGGAGGTGAGGACACAGCGCTCCTCCCACCCCGCCCCTGCCCAAGTGACCCAGAGCAAGACTATTTTTGTGCGGCCGTAAATATAAAAGAAAAAGAAAAAGAAAAAATCTTGCAGCCCATCCCAAGTCCGTCGCCGAGCTTGGCCCTCCGGAGGGGCTGGGGGTCCACCCCCCCCACCCCCGAGGCGCTGCAGGGGGCGCTCTGGGCCGGGCCGGGCCGGGCGAGGTGGGCGCGGGGCCTCCCCGGCCCGGCCAGGCGAACCCGGGGGCCTCCGGCGCTCGGGGGCCCCGGGAGAGGGCGGCTCGAGTGGGCGTGGCCAGGAGGGGGCGGAGTCTCCGTCGCCCCGCCCCGCCCCGCCCCCTCGGCGGCGCGCGGGCCAATGGCGAGCGCGCAGTCCCTTCCGAGCGCCAATCCGCGCCGCCTTTTGCCGCGGCCCGCGCGGGGCCCAGCTGACGGGCCGCGTTGTTTACGGCCCGAGCAGCCCCGGCTCCCGCCGCCCGCCCCGGTGCCCGCCGCGCGCGCCCGAGCGTCCGTCGGTCCCCGCTCGCCCCGGGGGGCCCCGCGCAGCCGACCACCGCGGGGGGAGCGGCGAGGAGCTCCGAGGGGCGCCCCGATCGCTCTGCAGCCCGCCGCGGGGCGCGGGGGCCCGAGCTTGGTGGAAGCGGCCGAGGCCGCGCGGCGGTTGGGGTGGGGGGTGCACCCCACCCCCTTCGCCCAGATCCGGGGACCCTCGGCCGGCGCCGGGAGGGGGTTTCTGCACGGCGGAGGAGGAGGCGGCGGCGGCGGCGCCCCCCGACACACGCGCACACACGCACGCACTCACACACACACACGCGCACGCACGCAGAAGCGCCCCCCGGAGCATGCACGGCGCGGGCCGGCGCGGCGCGCTCTGATCCGGGGGGTCCCCGTGCTCCCCGGAGCAGCCATGGGCGCCGGGGGAGGCCGGGGGGCGGCGGCCGGGCCGCTGCTGCTGCTCCTGCTGGCCGGGGCCGCGCTGCTGCTGGGCGCCGCGGGCCACCTGTACCCCGGAGAGGGTGAGTTCGGGGCGCCGGGGTGGGCGGGAGGCGCGCGCTGGGGAGGGGGCACCCGGGCGCACATGGACCCCCGAGCCCACGTCCGATCCTGCAGCACTGTGGGGAGCGGGGCGAGGATCCTTCCCACCCACCCGTCTCCGTCCACACACACGGACACCGAGTCGCTTGGGCTCCCCGGGCTGGGGGTGGCCGGCTGGGCTGGGGGGGCCCCGGGAGCCGCTGACCTTGGCCTTTGCTCGCCTGGGCTCGCGGCTCTGCGCCCCGCGTGCTGGCCCCAGGCTGGGAGAACCTTGCCCCAGTGCCCGCCCAGTCGCGGGCGCGTCCCCCCACCCGAGCGCCTCGGGGGGCCTCGGACCCCGGCCCGGCGAGTCTCGGAGTCGCCCTCCGAGAGAATTGGGGCTGTTGGGTCCGGGCGCACGTCACACGCCCCTGGGTGCACGCGGTGGGCTCCCAGACTGGGTGGGGGGTGGGGGTGGTACTGGTGGTTGTTGTTGGTGGTGGTTGTTACTGTTGGTTTTTATTTGGTGGTCGTTGTTGGTCGTGGCTATTTGTGGGTGGTTGTGGTCAGTTGGTGGTGGTGGTTGGTGGCTGGTAGTGGTGGTGGTTGGTTATTGGTTGCTCTTGGTTGTCGTTGGTTCTTGTTGGTGGGTATTGAGGTGCTGTTGGTAGTGGTTGGTCGTTACTGTTGTGATTGTTAGTGGATATTAACTGTTGCTGTTTTGGGGTAGTTGTTGATGGCTGTTGGCGGTTGCTGGTAGCGGTTGACAGTGGTTCTTGGTAGTTATCGGTTGTTATTTGTTGTTGGTTGTTGATGTTGTTCGTGGGCGGTTGTTGTTGGTTGGTAGTCATTTTAGTAGTCGTTATTGGTTGTTGGCTGTTGGTAGTGGTTGACGGCGGCTATTGGTGTTATTGATTGTTGGTGGTTGTTGGTGGTTATTGATTATTGGTGGTTATTGATTGCTGGTGGTGGTGATGGGTCCCTGATGGTAGGGGAAGCTGCATGGGGAGGGGAACAGGACCGTAGCACCCCCCTGAATGCTCCCCTACCCCTCTTTCTGAGGTCCACACCCGTGGCAGCCCAAGGGACTTGAGGCGCTTGGGTTAGACTTTTGGGGGTGTTCACTTCCAGGCGTCCGGGGGACCACCTGCGTAGGTGCGGGTTGTGGGCTCCTCTGTGCTGTTAGCTGGAATCACGATTGTCACCATCTGCGGTTCTGAACATCCTGGCCAGGCGCAGCGTATCTCTTTATACCCTGGAGGAGTGTGTGTGTGTGTATGTGTGTGTATGTGTGTGTTTGTGTGTGTGTGTGTGTGTATGCGCGCACGCATGCGGGCCTGGAGACAGCTGTTCCCTCATTTCTTTCTTTTTTTTTTAAATTTTTTTTTAATGTGGAAGTACTGCTATTTATTCAGCCATTGATTAAGCTGATTGAATTTGTTCACCCATTTCTTGTTGGGGTAAACTGAGTCAAGGGAGGGACAAAACTCACCTGTCCCCAACTGGTGAGGACCCCAGGACCCAAGGCTGCTCTCTGTGGTTCCCGCTCAGTCCTCCTGCCATCACCCCAGGACCCATTCTCCCAGCCCCCTTCTGGTTCTTCCCTCCGCAAAGGGTCTTACACTGTCTGCCTCCCTGTCCTGCCAGCTCCTTCTAGCATTTTCTTTGGGCTTCATAGTGGGTCTTCCTGGTTGTGAAAAAAAAAAAAAGATTGGAAAATCCTTTTTTTTTTTTTTTAGGCGAGGGGGGAGGCCACGTGCTCAGGGGATCACTCCCGCGGGCAGGGCGGGGCTCATGTCGTGGGATCCCCGGGTGCCAGGGATCCCTTATGCCACGCTGCACCTCCTGCAGCGTCTCTCCGGCCCAGCAGACTCGTTGACCAGAGCCTGGCGGTCCCCGCTGCTGCTGGGGACTCTGTGTGTATGGGTTTTACTACTCAGTTCTGTCCATAAAAGGACCCTGGCCGGGAACAGGGAAAGGAACAGTGCTCCGGAGTCCCTACAGGGACCACGAGATGTGAGAATTTCAGCTGTGCGTTGGCAGGCTGAGTGTCTGGATATTTCTTTGCGTTACTTCATAGCTAACGCCCCTTCACTCCATCCCAACTCTGATATAGGAGCAGTTGGTTTGGGTTTTGCTTTTTTTTTTTTTTTTTGGTGGTGGGGGACACACCCCAGCTATGCTCAGGGCTACCTCCTGGCTCTGCGCTCATGCATCACTCCTGGTGGGCTCGGGGACCCTACGGGGTGCTGGGGATTAAATTGTGTTGCCCCCCCCCCCCATGCCAGGCAAGCACCCTCCCTGCTGTAGTAGCTCTTTGGCCCCAGTTTGAATTTTCTTTTTTCTTTTTTTGGTTTTGGGACCCCACCTGGCAATGCTCCGGGGTCACTCCTAGCTCTGCACTCAGGGATCACTCCTGGAGGTGCTCGCGGGACCCTATGGGATGCTGGGGATCGAACCCAGGTTGGCCGCTTGCAAGGCAAATGCCCTCCTCTCTGTCCTATCCCTCCCACCCTGTCCTTTTTTATTTTTTTGGCAGGGGAGGAAATCTGGTGATGGAGTCCAGGAGGAAGCAGATCTGGGATTAGAATCAAAAAAAGAAAAAAAAATTTTTTTTTAATCCAACGCATTTCTTTTATTTTTTTTTTATTTTTTAAAGAATGGTCACGAAGTTATTGATACTTATGTTTCAGGCATAAAGTATTTCAACACCAATCCCAGCCCCAGTGCCAACTTCCCCCCACCCGTGTTCCCACATTCCCTCCCCATCCCCCAACCCCCCCCATCCCCGTCAGTCAACTTGACAGGCACATGACAAAGTTTCAGCGGCTGCAGCTGAGAGAGATCTCATGTCTTCAGTGTCGTTGAGTGTGTGTTTGGCATCGACGGCTCTGGGCATCACTCAGATCACTGGTCTGACTGAACCCTGATGCCTCATTGCTCCCCCTTTTCTTCTTCCCCCTCCCCCTCAGATGTTTTTTCCTTCTCTGCCCTCCTCTCTAAACACTGGGGTCAAGGGTGAATTAGGCATCCACCCCCCACCCCCCTTTCTGAAAATACATTTCCTCATCCAGTCTTCTGTAAACCGCAGATAAGTGAGATCATCCTATGTTTGTCTTTCTCCTTCGGGCTGACTTCACTCAACGTGCCATCTTCCCGTTCCGACCACATTGCAGGGAACTGCATCCTTCCTTGTGGCCGCATAGTATTCCACTGTGTTTATATGCACCCCATCTTTATGATCCGTTTACCGGTTGTTGGGCACCAAGGTTGGCTGGCCCCAGGAATCGAATCTTTGCTAGTCTGGCTTCATAGGGTTCGATTTTGTTTCTTTGTTTTTAGGGGAGGGCACTTGAGCCCCCATCCAGCAGTGCTTGGGTCTTACTCACGCTCAGTGCTCAGGAGTCACTGCTGCTGGGGTGCCCTGCTGAGGATGGAACTGGGGTCAGCTGCATTCACACCCATACTGTCGCTTACACCCTGTCTTGCTCTCCCAACCCCTCCTTTGTCTTTTGGGTCACACCCCGCGATGCTCAGGGGTTAGTCCTAGCTCTGCGCTTAGGAATCACTCTTTTTTTATTTTTCTTTTTGGGTCACATCCGACAATGCTCAGGGGTTACTCCTGGCTCTACACTCAGGAATTAGTCCTGGTGGTGCTCAGAGGACCATATGGGATGTTGGGAATCGAACCGGGTCGGCCACATGTGAGGCAAAAGCCCTACCTGCTGTGCTATAGCTCCAGCCCAGGACTCCTGTTTTTTTTTTTTTTATTTTTTTTTTGCTTTTTGGGTCACACCCGGCAATGCACAGGGGTTACTCCTGGCTCATGCATTCAGGAATCACTCCTGGTGGTGTTCGGGGGACCAAATGGGATGCTGGAAATCGAACCTGGGTCAGCCGCATGCAAGGCAAGCGCCCTCCCCACTGTACTATTGATCTGGCCCCTGTTTTTTTTTTCCCCTTAGGGTCACACCTGTCAGTGCAGGGTGGGGAATGCTACTCCGGACTCTGTGCCTAGCTCTGGGAACCTTGCAGCGCTGAGGATCAAACCTGGGGTTCTAGCATACAAAACCTGTGACCAACCCACTGAGTTCTCTTTGGCCCTGGGGTCTTAATATTCACAGGGGAAGGTACATCAGTGGTAATTTAGGCTACTCCAGACTTTGTGCTCAGGGTCACCTTGGGGGGTGCTGGGGGGACCCTGCGGTGCTGGGGATGGAACCCAGAGTTTCTGCAGGCAAGTCTCTCTCTCTGGTCCTGGGGTCTTTTTTTTTAAATTTTTTTTTTTTTTTTGCTTTTTGGGTCACATCCAGCGATACACAGGGGTTACTCCTGGCTCTTCACTCCGGAATTTCCCTTGGTGGTGCTCAGGGGATCGTATGGGATGCTGGGAATCGAACCCAGGTCGACCGCGTGCAAGGCAAACACCCTACCCGCTGTACTATCGCTCTGGCCCTGGTCCTGGGGTCTTTTGTTTTGTCTTGTTTGGGGCCACACCTGGAGGTGCTTGGGGGTTACTCCTGGCTCTGAACTCAGGAATCACTCCTGTCAGTGCTCAGGGGACCCTATGGGACACCGGGGATCCAACCCTTACTCGCTGTGCTGTCACTCCAGCCCCTGATCATGGGGTCTTGATTTTTTTTTTTAAATTTTTTTTGGGTCACACCCGGCGATGCTCAGGGTTACTCCTGGCTCTGCACTCAGGAGTTACTCCTGGCGGTGCTCAGGGGACCATATGGGATGCTGGGAATCGAACCCGGGTCAGCCGCGTGCAAGGCAAATGCCCTACCCGCTCTGCTATCACTCCAGCCCCTTGATTTTTTTGTTGTTGTCTGTTTGGGCTACACCCTGCTGTTCTCAGGTCTTACTCCTGACTCTGCACTCAGGAATCACTCCTGGCAGGGTTTGGGGGACCCGAGGGGGTGCCAGGGATTGAACCTGGGTCAACCAAGCACAAGACAAGAGCCCTCCCCGCTGTGCTATGACTCTGGCCCTGGGGTCT